CATACATAATATAATATAGAAACACTGTTAATTAATAGAAGTTTCTAATGTGATGTCATAAATAAACATATTTTTTTCCCTTACATTATAAACACTGGCTGAACCCTACGAGATAGATCAAAATAATGTACTGCAATATTATACGTCTTAAGAAGTTCTACAAAAAATCCATGGTATATGCCTATCTCTTAGGGATAACCTGCAATAACCATTTTTAATCTTTTACTTTCTACGAGAAATAATAATTTATTTACGAAGTAATTTTAGGCAATACAGCATTAATCTTTATCCAATAAGATACCAAATATACCAATGTATTTAAACATTGTGCATTTAATACAGATCAATATGACAATTACAGTATGTAATTTAAATGAATATTTTGGAAGATATTACACGTTTAAATGCAGGGACATGGCCCGGGAGCCGACTACGCTATTTAGTATCAGCATTGCACCCGTGCGAAGCCGGGGCGGATCGCTAGTATAAAATATAGAAGAATATACTTCATTAAAAATTCAACCCACCTATTGACGTAAATTACGTATTTAAGTATATCCAAGTAATTATATTTCCGTCTAGGTTTCTTTTTATTTATATTTGTTTATCGTGGTGTATAACTGTTATATTTCGTTTTTATACATCTAAATTTAAGGTTGATAATAAGTTGACCCGTTTTTGAGACTTGAAGCTCTATTTATATAACCTAAGATCTAAACATACTTCTCTGTTTTTAGAATCATCGTAAAACATATGATTCGAAAAACTGTTCTTTTGTTAAATTGTTCAATACCAGTTTTATTATACGTATAATGGAACAGTAAGGACGTAAATAATTTAAATATCTGGATAATTTGGAAATATAGTAGTTTAATTAAAAAAAATACAATAAATATGTAATGGCGAATAATATATAATGACCAAGATTATTAGTATTTCAGCCATTAATTGTCCATTGCTGAACATCATCCTTCCCCATAAGGGGAGTTATGCCAGTAGTTGCCACGCTTGGCAAGCGAGTTGGCCACCACAGTTAGGCTTTTACAGATGTTTTAGAAGGAACGCTGCTGCCCATCTTTCCACCATAAGCTCTCTTAGTTGCCTCAAACGACACCCATGGGAAAGAAAGGTGTGGTCCATTCTATGCCGGGGCCTACACGGTGATATATATTTAAGAAGTATATTTTTTTGAACGGTAATACAATTTTTTTTTAGGAATTACGGAATTTTAATATGGCATTAAAATTATTTACTTGACTATATAAAAATACCAAAATAGTTTAATACATTGTAATGGGAGAGGAGGGGATTAATAATAATAGAGACTATTGTTCCACATTTATTAGCGACTTTGTTTGGTATCTAAATATAATAGTTACTCCTCCTTTAGCCCGCTGAAAAGCCCGAGTAATGCTCATCCAACTTTTTGTACGAGGTGATCTCTCTGTACTAGAATAGTATTATATTATCTGTGCCATTGCATACGGGCGCGGGGTTGTTTATGGTAATGTAAAACAAGAGCTGAGCTTCTTGACCATTTTTCTCAGCTAAATTTGTATTTCGAATAGGCGGTGAATTTATTAAAAATGATTATTAGAAAATGCTTATAATTAAATTTACTTAAACAAAAATTGTTTAATTTATTTATATAAAGGTAATGATAAAAGTATGGCTGGCGCTGGCGGAATACCTATCAATAAATGACATGATAATAATAGACGAAGATGAATTCAATTGTCTCATCATGACAAATTTACCAGGAAATAGACACGATGGTTTCCAGTGACGACCACGCGATGGCACCGGACTGATAGAGTACATATATTGCTAACAATAGGGCCATTGGACCCTATTATTAACAATACCTTGCCCATTTGATTTATGGAAGTCAATAGATATTTAGTTGAAGATGTTTAAAATTGGTCGAAGTTATACGAATTTGTCAAACGAAGATATTAGTAAGAGAAGGGGTAGTAAGACTAGGCAGAAAGCTATGTATCAATACCTAATAATAAGAAAGGTTTCTGCTCTACATTAAAAACTTAAGTCTTCAAAAGACGGTTTATATAAGTAGGTACTAAAATATAATTATTTAAAAAAAATATAATCTTTAAAATTCAAAACAAATTATCACTACATTATTTCTTTAAAGTGAGTACAATATTAGTCAACATGATAGGATAGATAAAACATGTATGTGCATAGAAAAAAGAAAACATGTAATGATTTTTTTATCTATAGTATGCGTAATAGTTACGTAGGCATTTACATAATAGGTAAATAATGTCGTTAGTTAACGAAATGGATATTTTAATTATGAATAAATATTCTTATCTAATAAGTACCTATTTATTCTATTTTGAACGTTTTCTTTTACGTCTTGGTTTAAATAATCAAACTTTAATGTATAACTTACATTTATTTATTTGTTTATTTATTATACTCGTAATTATCATAATTCATACTAACAAATCATATCTTTTATAGATATTTATGAAAAATTGTCTTATTTTTAATAGGTAGATATAATGTTTTTATTATACCTTATATAACATTCGTAAGTATTAGTATTTGCATCTTAGTATGTTCTTTTTTCTTTGTTGTACTTACTGCTGTATTTAGAATGTCATTTGCTCTGTATGTAATAGTTAATAGTAGAAATTATATATATATATATATATATATATATATATATACGAGGTCTGTCCGGAAAGTTCGTATAAAAGTGTTCTGGAATGCGAGAAAGAGGAGTGGGGAGGCCAGGTAAGCGCAGGACCCTTTCCTTATGTCCCTAACAATGCTTCAGTTCTGGTCTGACCGCCGTGCGGTGCGAACTGGCTTGTCACGCCATCTGTGAAGTTACCTCTTAACGAAACCCCGTCGGCATGGAGCCCGCTTCCGTTGAAGAGCAGCGCGTCGTAATCAAGTTTCTCTCGAAACTCGGCAAGAATGGCCGTGAAATTTTTGCCGATCTCAGAACAGTTTATGGGGATGATGCTGTGAAGGAACCAACCGTCCACAAGTGGCTAAAAAGATTCAGAGAGGGCCGAGAAAGAGTTCGATGTTCGGGGGATTGTCCATCAAGAATTCGTCCCTCCAGGCCAGACAGTTGATGGAAAATTCTACGTCGATGTGCTCAGACGCCTCAAAGCTCGTGTGGCACGAGTTCGTCCAGAATTGGCGCGAGAGGGGCGTTGGATTCTTCACCACGACAATGCCCCTGCCCACACCTCTCTTGTTGTCCGTGAGTTTTTGAGTAAAAATTCCATTACGGTGACCGAACACCCCCCTATTCGCCGGATTTGGCCCCGTGTGACTTCTTCTTGTTCCCAAAAACCAAATTGGTACTTCGGGGGCGGCATTTGGGGGACATAAATGAGATAAAAAAAGCTACGACGGGGCAGCTGAGAAACCTACAACCAGAGGACTTTCAAGGAGCCTTCTCACAGTGGAAACGGCGTTGGCACAAGTGCATTATGTCACAGGGGGAGTACTTTGAAGGGGATAAAATTGATTTACCTGAATAATTGTAAAATAAAATTTTTAAAAAACTTTTATACGTACTTTCCGGACAAACCTCGTATATATATAAAACATTAAAATATTAAAGATTGCTGGAAGACAACTTACAAAGTTAAGCTCGCCTGTTGCATATCTTTATTTAATATATATTATATGTTTGTAATTTTTTGTGTAATAAAGAGTAAATAATTAAATTTCCAAAATTTATGTTGTTGTTTCAAATATTGTTACTTCAAAGTAGGTATCAGAAACGTCTTTATTTTAACATATGATGATATTATTAAGAAAAACTAATAATTTGATGTCTTTCTTTGGATGGATATCTAGAGTAATTTATTGGTTTGGCGTTATTAACTTTCACACACAATCTTCTTCAATTTAGTCAATCTGTGACTTCCACTGTCCATGTCTCATGACGATCTATCTAGTCAATGTTTTTTTAAGGCGAGTTCACAATGTCGTATCCTAAGAACAGCCATATTTACATATCAGGGGGTCTATCATGAAATTAAATTCCGAATTTTCGAACTCAATTTCGTGTTTTTGTTCATACCAAAATCGTAAACGGAGTTTTAGATTTTGTTCGTCATAAATTCTACTGTAATAGTCCAAAATAACGATATTTTAACATTTTTAGTTGTTTTAAACAATAAGTATTATTTAATTATAACATTAAATTTGTATTTTGTTCGGCCCCGAAACTTCGAAAAATATTTCATGGTAGGCTCTCTGTTTGCTACGTATTATTTATCTATCTATGTAATCCTTGTTATCTATTATAATGCTTAATTTTGTACTTATCATTATGTTAAAAAGCTTTACATTTGTGTTAAATAAATAAACCCTTTCAATCGGGCAACGGCAAAGACTTTTTATGCCTAATCGCATGCTAATAGTAATAATTAACGTGGACCCCGTCTGATGGTAAATATTTACTTTAGCCTATTAACAAATAAAAAATTTTATTTAAAAGCAGTAATTAATATCTTTAAGGCAATTAGGTGAGTATTTATTATAATTCAAAACGAATAAATATTCAGGGTTCATAACCTGTTTGATCATTGTTGAATTAAAAAATGCGCAGGAATTACGTATATTATTTCTAAATAAAGATTCAAAATCGGAACTCTCTAAATCTTACTCTTCATTGATAAAAGGTTTAAGGCATTCCTTAGTGCTTTTATCAACAAATATTAGTTGGTTCATAAACCCATTTTTTTCTTCAATCTATCAATTTAGAAATTACTTTTTTCAGACTATAATTTTCTTCAGACATTTTTAAAAGTTGCATTGTTGCATAAAAATACATACTATGCTTTCTGTGGTATATCTAGTTTCATTACGTCTTCGATGCAACCTGGTAACTTATTTAATATGGACTGATCTATGACTATAATTCGGAATGAGCAGCACCGGTTTTAGCACTAATGGCACATCATTACTTGTTGAGTGGCGAACGATACGAATACGAATGCTAAGCGGTGGGCGGGGTGCGTGCGCGTGCGCTTTTTGCTCGTGGCAAGGCGACCGGGCAGCGGTGCACCGGGATCTATCCTTATTGTATTTTATTCTGTTCTTTGCTCTCTTTCCCAACGATCGTCCCTTGCCGTACATCCGTATTTTAGAACTTTACCTATAACAAAGCATGCTTAGGATTTTATTTCGTACTATGCCAATATGATAACAAAAAGTTACATCGACGCCCGGCAAACTTATGTTTTGTTTTGTTTTGTGTTCGAGTGTTTTAAATAAATATTAATCGTAGTAATTTGTTGCAAAGTATTTTATTACTAAATTAAATTTTGTTTTTAACATTATGAATATCTATAATTTTGTGATTCATATATTTTTGTATAGTTTTATACACATTTTTATTGGAGTTGTGAGCGATTTAAGGGTAAGTGGATTTTGCGTATTTAAAAATATTTGTAGTATTTCTTTTTTTAATGCTTTTCCGTATTTTTATTTTCTTTTACTTATATAGGTTTAAAATTAAATATAAACTATTAAATACAGTGCCAACATTTATACAGAATGTTATAATTTAAATTTATTAAGTAGATCCTGTAATATTTGTATGTCTGTTGTTTTTGTTTCTAGAAATATATAAAAGTATGGAACTAGGGGTATATTTTCAAATTTTGACATTTAACTATGTGCATAATAAAAAAAAAATATTAAGTAGATAACATATGTGTGTCTACATTGTGATAACTCTCTGTTATTTTTTTGCAAGCATCTAGATACAAAAATATGAAACTATATACTATTTACAAATATTTTTAGATAGTATAAGTTTATTTATATTGATTTTAATAATTAATCACCTTTTTATTATGTAAAGTGGTACTGTACATTCTACTTTCAACAGATTAAGTAATTGCATGAATTATTATTTTATAATTATTAATTACCTTTCTCTATGTACCTATCTCTATTTATCTACCCACATCAGATGAACCCAAGATAGGCAGGTAGCGTAGCTAACTGTATACCTACTACGGTTTAAACCAGCTACTTGTTATTTCCCGTGTCTTTTGTACAAGTATCTACCTCTCTATTTGCCCAATTGATTGACATGATATGCTGCAAAACTAGATTTAACGCTAGTTGTAAGCAGTCATAAGCAGACAAATATAAATCTATAAGATTTATATTTCAGAACGAAATGTCACGAATGTAGGCAAAGAAACTATACAAAACCACTGGATATTTATTATAAGGCTGTATATATAGGTCATTAAGTATATAGATACCTACATGTAGCTAGTATAACTGGCGACAATATATTACGTTGTTATTATAACATTAAATTACCTATTCACTTTTATATATACATACACATATATTTTTAATGGTTGAAAATAAAATTGTGACAGTAGAGTGATAGTGAATAAGGGATGATAAGTGAGGATGAAGTAGGTCAGCTGGCCTATCATGACGATTTTACCATTAACCACGACAGTTTCCAGGGGGAACCATATAGAGGTCGACCTGACAGGATATACTGCTAACAAGAGAGCAGTGACGGAAAGGGATTGTTAGTAATGGAGTCAAATAGCCCCATTACTAGCAATATACCCTGTAAGGTCGACCTCCACGTGGTTTCCCCTGGAAACCATCGTGGCTAATTCTAGTTAAATTCGTCAGTATGGGCTAACTGAACTACTTTCGTCCTCATTAGTCATCTATCACTGGTGCCCCACCATTGTATACCGATAGCGCAGACGGGGTTACCATAGCATTATCACCCATTAAAAAACAAGAGGGCAGTTAGATTCCATTACTAACAATCAATTTCCCCCACTTTCATATATTTTGAAACCATAAATATATTACAGAATCCTTCAAACACTTACCAGATACGTTTATGTCGGTTTGAATTGCAGAATCCTACATACATGTCTATGGCATTTTCTTTAATTGGTTTTGTTTATTTCTATATTTACTACCGCCTATGTTAATAAACTGATAGTTCACCTGCTGAAAAATGGTGACTATGACTATTACAAACAACATCATATACCTACGTTAATTAAGCGACTTCAAAAAAGGAGGAGGTTATTTTATATGCTTTTTTTAACATGGGACCCCTCCTGCCTTTACATACATCCAAATTAAATTATTGGGTATAACACAATTAATTAAGAAACTATATAATTTTTAATATAATTTAAGCAGCGAGAAATTATACGGCTCGCCGTATCCGACATCTTAATGCTACGTAATCATACGTATTTTAAAAACGCCTCCGATACCATATAGTTGATTATCAATCTTGAAGAAATCTTTTCAAATATTTTAAGAATCCCATACAAGTAGTCTTTATAATTATTACACGTACGAGTAATTGAAATATAAAATGCATGCCGAAGGTGCATGCTTGTATGCAAAAAAGTGTAAGTACCTATAAAAATATTTTGTCCTTTGTTTATTTATTATAAAATATTTAATATATTTTAATAAATAGAGATATTTTTGCTTATTTAATTATTTCTGGGACTTAACTAATTCTCTAAATAATAATTTATTCAATACACGAAGTAAAATCCATATCATAAACATTTAAAAATATATTTTGTTTTCAGTACATAAAGCAACTATATATTTTAAAAGGATAACTTTATTACGGTACTTAGCTACGAAAATAAACATTGCATATAAAAAGATTTTTTTCTATCCAAGCCCTTTATTCCTGAATCCAGCCAGCTTGATGTCTTTTAATGATTAAACGAGGATTAAAATATTATAAGGAGATTATAATTTATAGTACCAAGCGAAAATTGGCATCAGACAATACATTCACTCGGTTGCCAATGATGCGAATTGAATTCAAATGAACTCGTATAACGAAGTCGAGCTCGTTTATAAGGAAAAATAATCATAAGCATAAGATTTAAAGTCGTTTCGAGTACTCAATACCTATTGTTCGTAGAATAGACTGAATTAAATAGATTTGTTTTGAGTGACACTATTTTATTTGAATATGTAATAAATATTATTTAATATAAAGGTTTAACGCTCTTCTAATATTGTAAATGTGAAAGTGAGTTTATTTATTACCGTGCTAAGATCTTAACAGCTTTGTCAATTGCTATGAAATTTGGTATACATGTACCCACTACTCGTAAACGGGATAGAGAAAGACATAGGCATTTATCCGATCTGTGATTACATTCTGGTTACGCGAATGAAGTCGCGAGTAAAAGATAGTACATATAATGTATCTATAATCAATACTATTAAAATTTGTTATCCCAAATATAGGTACTTGGGATAAATTTTAATATAGTTTGTCTAAACTAATAAAAACGACGAAATTTACGACAAAACCAACATTATACCTAATTATAATTACAAGCTTCGCTCCTGATCTTGAGATGGGCACCAATCGATTCAGGGATGAGGACGTGAACTCTTCACTGAAATACGCCAACGTTGGTGGATATGTTAATAAAATTCATTAGTTTGAAATAAGCAATTTTTCGCAGCCTGTACTGTACATTACATCCCCATGGGAAATTATATGAAGTCGAACACATTTGCGGGGAAAAGAAAACTGCATTAAGATTATTCTGTATATACATATTATAAATCGTACGGTAAAAATTCTTCTAGAGGGATTGGCCTTAATCTATTTTTTTATCCTAGCTAGAGCAACTTTTAAAGGACGTTTAGATTATCTGAAGCACTGTAGAGTAACTCCTAGTATACTTAATTTGAACTCTAACGGCAAAGTCATAGTCGTATTAGCTAGTACAATGTAACTGCCAGTACTCCTTTTGCTTTTTTATTTAGTACACTGTAATTTGGATAACAATTTAATTAAAAAAAAAAATCGAATTAAAACATGTTCTAAAGCATAGTTTCTCAACTTTCTTTTTTTCCTATCTATAAAGTGATGGGAGACTTTTAGATATTTTTATTTTTCATCTGCTCTTTTTAAACCATTTTTTTTTTAAATCTGCCTAATACCCCTTTGCGAATTTACAACTCTAAAATTTTATCTTTTAATACATCTTCTTAGTAAGCAATAGATATCAGCTATTAAAATATTCTATTGATTTCATAGGGATACCAAACTTCCTTAACAATTGTTATATATGATATTACTACTGTTTTATAATTTATTATCAATGCTATTGCGTATCATTCTTTTCAATTGCCAGGATGTCTTAAGAGCCGACTAGAAAAATTCTGTACAGTATAATATAGCAGAAGAAAAATTTAATATAAAACTTTAATTAAACCGTCTGGATAGAGTCGTAATATTAGGTTAATCTACTTTCTTATGGGGACATATCTGTTATGCTCAGCTGTAAGGTGATATTAGTATTGTTATGGCTACGAAAGTGAGTAATGGTCACTATGAGACAAATATACACTTAAGTACCTACCTACCTTAAATGAATGTTCCAATTCTACGAATTATTTTTGTCTTAATTTTTGTTGTCTATCATCTCGAAAAATCGTAATAAGAACTTTTTAAAACGACGACCATACGCGTTACGATTAATAGTCACAATAATAATGTGATACCTACCCATTTTTTTTTTACGAAATGAAAGTGTAACGGAAATACCATTTGCATTATTAATTTATGCTGGCCTGGGTATTGAAGGATGGTAGCTGAGGATAGTCAATTGTATATAGTCGTTGTCAGGTCAGTTGGTCTATCGTGATGAATTCACTAGATATTAACAACGATATTTTTTCAAGCGGGGACGAAGTAAGATGATAGCGTGGAGATAAACTGACAGGGTACATTGCTAGAATTGGGCCCGCTAGTCCCCATTACTAACTAGGCTCTCCTTTATAAATTTCTATGTATGTGCTGTAACTGCATCTGTAATTCATATTGTAGGTTTAACAATAATTATTCATCATCATGATCATTTTCTTGCCATTATCCCATACACAATTTAGTCTATTTTCTTGTGTTGTTTAACACTAAATATTATGCTAGAAAAATGAATTATTTAATAATACCTATTCAGAAATATACTAAAAATAAATAATAAAATTTTAAATTAATGTTTTCGTTGTTTAGCCGAGTACACAAAGCAGTGAACTGTGTTTAACGCGCGCCGCTGCATGTGAAGCAAGTGGGACAAATGCTCGGCGAACAGTCTGCGGCAGCGATGGCCAAACATACCCCTCCAGATGTCAGCTCATGAAGGCACAGTGCGCTGGTAAACCAGTAAACGTGGCTCATAGGGGACCTTGCATAGGTGAGTGTACAATTATTGTTATGCGTGTCTTTTTCCCCATTTATAGGTTAACAGTTAATGAATACAATATACATTTATAAATAAGTACATTAATTTTCTTTCACATCTCATCGTGCCACCCACGCCATTACGCACGTAGTATTATTACGTAAGTATTTTTTATACAACAAGTAGTGATATTCATTTAAAACGTAAACGTTAAAAACAAATGAATCAAAATATGTATACATAAATAAACAAGTCGCGTTTTCACTTTTTGAAATTTAGATCTTTTGATGCGGATTTTGATAGACACTTTTGTAATACAAACTGTAATATTTGAATCTCATGTGCTATTCATCACTAGTATATTTTTGGGTTTAAATGAACTTTAAAAAATGCACTCACATACTAAAAACCGTATGTATGTGTATGTTAGTGGCAATGTTTTGCATTACTGCCTATTGTGTTTCGGTATCTCGGTGAGATGCGACAGTAAAATTAATAGATAGAGCAAGGTATAAAACTCTAATCCTTAGAAAAAAAGCACTTGCTATTGGCGACACATGGTAGGAGCGGTGCGGCATATGTTGTTAGGATGATTTGTTATTGAGTATTAACTCTACTTTTCTTTACATAACTTTTTATTATCCTCATCATTTTAGCCATTAACTATTCCCTGTTGAACATAGGCTTTACGTAACTTGGAATAATTAAAATACTGACAGTCAATTTATGGAAAGTGGTAACCGTTGCCTATAGATATGGACATCACTATGGATATCATAAAATGCACTGCAACTTCTCATATAATGCCCACCGCAATACACTTTCATTTAAAAAACGAATCATCAAAATTGGATTCCAATTAGCTAAGAAAGATATTACTTAATATACATAAACAACATTATATTCAATGATACTAATAAATTAAATGTCATGTAAACTACATGTATATTACCTGAAAAAAAAATTTATAAAAATCATCCATTGTGTACAAGTTGGACTACCTGTTTGATGTTTGTCATATCTACCTATATAAGCGACAGTTACTATTATTTTTTTTACATTATTTGCTATAAAATGCACTTTGTAAAAAAACCTAAATATTTTTTTAATAATTTTGAATATATGACACAATTGTAATAAGTGCTTCAATCTGTACTATTACATGATTAACCATGACATTTAGGTGTATGTATAGTATATGAGTTATGTACGTATAACTTTTGTAAGTATATTATTCTATATGTATGTATGTTCATCATTTTAAAATGTTTTGATGCTGTTATCTATCAAAATATCTATTTCATTTACAAATCGATTTTATTAGTTCAATGCATCGCCGTTCGCTCTATTTAGCGTAACGGTTGACTGGTAGAGAATGCCATTGGACATTAATTGCACCGTGTATACATTTTAATACGGTAGTGTGCAAAAGAATAAATAAATAAGTTTATAATTTTTATACCCACTTAACTGTAATGTACCTATTATGAAAGTACATTTTTTATTTTAAATGTATACATACATTGCACGAATTCGTGTTCCTAGTATAACACGTTATAAACGGGTTTAACTGTAGCTTTAGGTATTACCGATATATAAGTGTAATATCAATTGAATATCAACGCAATAATTGATGTAACTATTACTATGGAAATGTAGGGGCATTATGTTGCAATCTTACAATTATTTCTGCAGCGAAGATGCTAGCTTTATTATCAATAATGACTTAAAATAGCTCCTGCAGAAACATTTATCGAAATAGTAAAACACATCTAAATTATAATCGCATCTAATATAAATATCTTATGTATATTGTTTGTACAGACTGGCACTGTTTCTCTTGACTGTAGCGGTGATAAAAGATCTTTGTTTGGTCATGGCCTTGTCCTCATCTGCATACACTGTATACCTATAGTACTTTATAGGTGCTATATTAATCAATAGCTCCTTCCATAAATACTGTCGCGATCATATATTACTATTTATAGTTGAGAGCTTCCTGTCTATATCGATAATAATTATGTACCATAATATAATAATTATTAATAACTAACTATATAACCTAACTTTGTACGCGTGGATTTTAAAAATTGATTTTATCGTGTTAGAAGAAAAATCCATTAAATTGTGCACTTTTAGACTGCGCATCAAATCATTTGAATTTAATTTAGACTTTCAGGAATACGACAGTGGAAACTGCATCCAATTTGGTGCAGTAGTTTTTGTATGTTGCAGGAAGTAAGAAAGATACGGACAAAAAAACTTTTTAATTAATATTTTTACTTGTATTGCTCTTATTGAAATCTACATATATGTGGACATTGTCTAGTTACAATTTTATTGTATGAACTATACTTATATATGCACATAGATATTACATTTAAAAGTAAAATAAAAAGTTTAATTACAAATATAGGTCATCATGCCTAGTCTTTACTAGGCAGGATGACCTATATTTGTAATTTGTTTGAAAGGACAAATCGAAACAAACAAACTAAAAATTAAAAATATGTATTGAAAACTTTTATTTCATACCAATTATTAGGATTTTTTTATATCGGAGATTTTCAACATAATGCTTTTTGCTGGGTATTGATAGATGTATCAGTTTTTATATTGGAAAAGAAGTTCATCGCTATTTCTTTATCTTTATACCTAGTTACTATAATTCATTTGCTGTTCATAAATTATATTATTGTAAGTTCACGTATCCACTTATATACAGTTCTGCGATTGTATACATACCTAGTTATACTTATTACGACTTGTGTATGATTGTGTATAATCCCAATTCTCCTTCCTACCTTCGTTCCCGGTTCCAATTATTACCTCCTCCTTCCAGACCTAGACGTCTTTGTCTGAACCAGTCCAGGGTACTGAAGCTTCCCTGCTGTAAAACCCATTTTATGGGTAACTCATTTGCATATCGTGCTGTACAGCTGTGGAATAAACTTCCCGTGAATATTCAGAATAGCCCGTCTAGCAGTTCCTTCAAAAAAAGATTAAAATCATTTTATCTTTCCAATTTAATTTAAATATAAAAATGATTAGAAGACTGTCATCATTGTGTTCTCTTGTATTTGATATTTATATGTTGTATTTAACGTGTGTATGTATGTGTGTATATGTATGTGTATGTGTATATGTATATATATGTGTATGTATGTATATATGTGAATGCATGTGTGTATATATATAATTATTTATAATTTATGTAAATATTTATTTAAATTTCTGTCTTGCACTACTACTGCCCACTCACTACTTCCTATGCCACTGCGTTAGGTTGACTGGAAGAAATCTCTTTTAGAGATAAGTTCGCCTTTGCTAACATTGTTATTAACTTATTGTTGTTACTGTATGTTTTTTGTGCAATAAAGAATATATATATTATTTCATTCATATTTTCAATGTATGGAACTTGCGATATGATAAAGTGACTTAAGTATGAATAATTACTTTTTATGATGCCCGTGGATCATTTCCTTTAATTAATCATTGAGGCAAGTGGGCCGGTTCACAATATATATGAGATTAGTCAACTACCGCTTTCCGGCTAACGTTCTTCACCATAAAGTATGATGAATTATCGTAGGACTAGTGACCCATTCCTATTTGAACACTGTCATGTCTATATATATGTACTTGAGTATCGTAAATAAAAATAAATGACTTTAGTAATTTTTTACTAGTTAGTAATTTTCTTGTTTAATGCATAAAGTCGAGACCAAATGAAAATATTATTAGTAAATTCATTATATTGTATTTAAGAACACCCATTAGAGTATCTAATGTATGTATTGTTATCTCAGCAGACGGCCAGTCATCATGCTTGATTGCGCTGCGTTATGCTCAAAGCGCCCGTACTAACCGGCGAGCCGCGTTCATGCCGAAGTGTCGTGCTGACGGCACTTACGCGCCCGTGCAGTGCGCGGCAGCTGGTGCAGCCACGGGCTGCTGGTGTGTTACACCTGAAGGCAAAGCTCTGCCAGATACTGCTGTCAGGAATGGCCGGCCAGACTGCACAAGGACAGGTTAGTAACAAACTATACTAGACTTAAAGTTCTTCATTATGAATTCAAGACTTAAAGATTTTTTTTTATTAGGATGAAAATAGATTGGTATTCCGCCTGTGCTATTGGTTTAAGCTGGCGGTATACTAGTGAATCATGGTATATGAAGATAAAGTCAAGCCAGTAGACCAATCGAGACGAATATACCAGGAATTTATATGAATGATTTGGGGGGGAAAGGGATTGTTAGCAATGGAGTTTGACAGCACTATTGCTAGCAATATATCCTATTAGGTCAACCTCCACGTGGTTCCCCCTGGAAACCATCGTAAACAATTCTTGTTGAATTCGTCACGATAGGCCAACTGACCTGCTTCATCCCCACCTATCATTCTTCACTGGTGCTCCGCCAGCGTATCCCGATAGCGCAGGCGGGGTTACCATTCCATTATCACCCATTAAAAAAAATATGAAAGATTTGGGGGGAAAGGGATTATTAGCAATGGAGTTTGATAGCCCCATTGCTAGTCATATCAGGTCGACCTCCATGTGGTTCCCCTGGAAACCATCGTGAACAATTCTTGTTAAATTCGTTATGATGGGCTAACTAACCTGCTTCATCTTCATCTATCATTCTTCGCTGGTGCTCAACCGGTGTATACCGATAGCGCGGGTGGGGTTACTTTTTCATTATCAACCATAAAAAAAATATGGACGATTTACAGTGTCATTTGATTTACCACGCGGAGACCGACCTGATAAGATTAATTACTAGCAATGAGGTCAATAGACTCCTTGACTTACAACTCTTTCCCCCTCCTTGGCTCAAAAATTCGAACGATACTTCCTTTTGATGCGCTTGTATGATATTAGGATATAAAAGTAAATTGTATTTGTTTATTATGAAAAAAATTATCAGGTCTACTGTGGCGATTCAGACCTAACACAACAATATTCGCGTTGCTACTTTCCGACAGAAATAAATACATATGAAGTTTGTACATAAGTATCTATCTTAGTTATACTGAACTCCATAGCATAGTTTCATAAACATTCTTTTCCGTCTACACAACGTGGTAAAATAATAAATTACAAGTGCCACACAACATGATAGGCTATGTTGTGATAGAAAAAATGAAGTTTTGACAAAAAACATGTGTCAATATGTTGTTCAATCATACAAGTACCTAGACAAATAAATCTTAGTCTACGTGTAGTTTAATAGTTATTAGATAGTATGTGTAAAATACACTGGAAATACTTTATACACATCGTTCCCGGATTCAGAACATCTGTTTTGCCTAACTCCAAGTCATAAATAATGGACGAAATACTTAGACACCGTTTGTAAACAACGGTCCAGATGAAAGCCAGTGTTTACGTTATACTAGAGCCACTTTAGCGCCTGAACATAACATTCATACTTATTTTCTACCAGCTTCAAAAAAGGAGGTAGTTCTTTATGCGTTTTTTATTTTTTTATGTTTATTACCTCATATCTCCGTCATTAAATATTAACCGTTTTGGAATTTTTTTATCTAAAAGGATCTATTTATCTAAAAGTTGTGATTGCTTATGTAGAAATTAAATCAAAATCGGCTCATTAGTTTAGTTTTTAAAACAAAAAAATTTGTTTTTCCGCGATTAGAGATGGCGTGGAACAAAATCTTAAATTATTTCAATTTCATTTTCCTTTCATGTATTATGCGTATCGCTACTTCACTATCGATGAATCACATTTAAAAATGGTATCTATGAATCAGGGATTTTATAAGTATTATCTACAAGCGTTCCTGTTATTTCCTTGTTCCCGTGGGATTTTCTGAAAATGTATCTATAAAAGATAAATCATTCATTTAAAAAGAAAAAAAAAATATTATCTCGGTGAAAAATATTATCCTTGTATGTCTTTCAACAAGAAGCATTTACATTTTGTGATAAAAAATCTTTATTACAAAACGTTATAACTAGCACAAGTATCAGTATAAGTAGTAAGTATAAACATGGCATCATAAACACGGAAAATATTTAATTTTCTTGAAAATTTAAAACAATTATTAATTTAACAACTTAATATTTATCTTACACTAAAGTTTAGTAAATTACAACTGTATCGATTAATATCTTATGTAACTAATCTTACCTACTTTTGTTTTGTACTTAAATAATTTTATATAGTTTTTATATTATATTAATCACAATTTTGATTTACACGTAATTGGTTTCTGCGAGATAATTACAAATTAAGTATAGACGGAACCACGTGAGCGAAATTGTGGGTATACACTAGTTGACAATTAAATCACGGGCATGTTTTGAATGTTGATTCCGGTAGGCACTCCCTATCTAGCTGAAGATCATGTATGCTTCAATAAATGTAAACACGAGGGGGGTCAGGGGCCCGTAAGGCGGAAGAAGGTAATCCCGACTTGTTTACTACCAGTCAGGTACCTACCTATTATCAAATTATGCATTGATACGAGCCGCTCTACGTATGGGTATTTTATGAGTCCTAATACATGTTAGAGTTTGAAAAAGACTTAAGATCTATAGAAATCTAACGGTCTGTTCATACGAGTAACATATTGACTGCGAGGGATAAAATTTTGCTTTGTGAAGGTATGTTTCGTATTTTTAAGGACTATATAAGGAAATATAACGAGTCATGACAGACACTAAGAGGACTGCCCATTGGGCCTGCGTAAATGAAGGATTTTTGTCCGCACAGAAGAAATTTTTCCATTATTCGCTGAGAACTTTCCATAGACTCGTGTGTATTATATCATGTAATTCTGTATACCATTATGATGAAAAAAATACTGACGAATATTGTTCTTATCCGTTAGTAGTTCTTGTCCGATAATATAAATACTTATATGGGTGTACCAATCGCGTCTAATTAAACATTTTTAAAGTCCATAATAAACATTCATCGTATCAAATAATCAAATATTTATCCATTCCAATATACGTGTTGTTTTGATCCTTCGTATTTTCTTATAATTTCAAGGTAATAGTGACTTTAGTTTTTTCAAGCGTCTTCAAAAAAAAAAGGAGGTTCTCGATTCAGTTGTATTTTTTTTTTGTTATTTCTTAACTCGGTGTGTTGTAAACTGATTTGTAAAAATATTTTTTATCTAAAAGGATATATACACAGATTGGTCTTATGATACCGATTTGTATATATATCCTTCTGTAAAAGTTTTATCAAAATCATTCGGTTTGCCATAGTTGAAATCAGTTTTTTTGTGAAATACAATCTTAATATGAGATGTGTATTTCATGTTTTTTTTTTATATGCTATGGGACATCCGTGTATCCAGTCTAAAAGTTTGTGAGAATTATCACAATATTTCTTAACTATCAAGTCAAATGCATGTAAGAATCATGTGCTATATAAAAATCGTTACATCTCATCACACACATCACATCGATTTCTATAAAATTTATCACTAAGTAGAATATAATAGAAACATTTTTTATTCAAGTAAACTTAATTTTAAGAATTTTTCATATACTTTGTTTATACATTCTACTGTTTTTTTTTTATTGTGCAGTCAATAGCTCACCTGATATAGTACTCGTATGTGTCTATAAACAGGCTGTGTATGTACTGAAAGTTATAGAACTTTAGTGTGCTTCTTGCTTAGTGAATTGATAAATTAATTTTAGAATATTGCACCTCAGTTACCCTTCTGACAAAGGGTCGGCCTACGCAGGGCGTTAGCCGACTAATCATACACTTCCTTATATACCCGCTGTTAACTAGCTCCGGAGTCCGGGCATATTTGGACGACCAACTGCGGTTATCATATCGCGGATAACATAAAAAAGCTAAGTGTTGACAAAAATCGAGTGATCCGTTCATTAGAACTGTAACAATTTGATAATGCCTTTGTGTGTGTTACCTAGCCATACACATATGTATTCGTGTATACCTACATTCACTAGTTTTTACCCACAGTTTTGTCTATGTAGCCTATTTATTGACTAGAATAAAATGTATCCTATGTTCTTCTTCATTTCAAACATTACGTCTATATAAAATTTCATAATAATTAGTTCAGCTCTTGTGTTTAAGCCGCCCAGAGGTAACAAACAAATAAACTCACTTTCGCATATATAGTATTGTTTAGTTAAGTACATTAATAATGTCTGGAATACGTAAGAAAAGTATATTTTGTAATAAAAGAAAACATTTTAATAACTGTCCTACGTGTACTCTGGTCGCAAGTTGCCACCAAATAGTAAGATCCCTTCAGCAGATCCATTTGTTTAATTATATAACTACCACTAATACTAATACCATGTACGCATTTTATTCGCATTTATATATATCAATGCTAGAAAAAAATCTATAAATGTGTATAGAGATAATGTTTTCTCCTCTATAGAAAATCGAAGTCTAAGCATAAACATAATCCATGTTCAGCTACACCCATATTCCATTCCTCTTTCGTTTCATTATATTATTTCAGTAAGTAGATGAGTCAGTTACCTATTTGCCAGTCTTATTTCTTTCATTTTATATATAGCACATTTATTAGGTACTTATAGATCAATATGTTTTTTGCACTTTATACAATCAACAAACTATTCAGTAGTGAGTCACGAAATACTGAAATCTACTCATGAATAAATCAGCACTACAAATACCTACCTACAAAAGCCAGACGACAGGAAATTCTGTAGTTACTGATTTATGTCTTAAATTGGCTGCACCTTCCCTATGTTGTGACTCAGGATCAAAATTTTTATATAAACTAAATCCTTGGAGCAAATTTTATTTTGTTATAAAAATAAACTCAGGTAAAAACATGGCGTGAGTCAGTATAGTTAAGAATTCGATTTCGACTTGATTTTGCACTTAATTCTATCGTGAATGCAAATTAAAACGTATCATATAAAACAACAGGATATCGAATACGAGGTTTGTCCGGAAAGTACGTATAAAAGTTTTTTAAAAATTTTATTTTACAATTATTCAGGTAAATCAATTTTATCCCCTTCAAAGTACTCCC